CAGCACGACAGCTCCTGCTCCAGAGGAGTTTCATAATCCCCTTCCTCTGCGCTGGGATTTTGTTCGGTGTAGTGTCAGACCTGACACCTTTCCCGGTGGGAGCTGGAGCTGGGGGAAGCACTCACATCACAAAACCTGTCCCGAGGCAGGACGGGGCCCTCCCCGAGGGTGGCACTGCCAGACCCGGGTGGCTCCGGCCGCTCCCTCCGCCCCTCCCTCTCTGCCCGGCCTCGGGCAGGAGCCGAAAGCGGAGTTCGGGTTCCCCCGTCTGTTTGGATTTTGCATGAGCAGGGCGGGCACTGAGCCCTGCGTGCCCCTGTCCCGCAGCTCACGGGAACCCCGGTCTCGGAGCGCGGCCCCCACCTCCTGAACGCCCTCAACAGCTACAAGAGCAGGTGAGAGCCGGGCGGGATGGGCAGGGGGGATGCGGGATGGGCAGGGAGGATGCGGGATGGGCAGGGAGGATGCGGGATGGCTCAGGATGGATGCGGGATGGCTCAGGATGGATACGGGATGGCTCAGGATGGATGTGGGATGGCTCAGGATGGATGTGGGATGGCTCAGGATGGATGCGGGATGGGCAGGGAGGATGCGGGATGGCTCAGGATGGATGCGGGATGGCTCAGGATGGATGCGGGATGGCACAGGATGGATGCGGGATGGCTCAGGATGGATGTGGGATGGCTCAGGATGGATGCGGGATGGGCAGGGAGGATGCGGGATGGCTCAGGATGGATGCGGGATGGGCAGGGAGGATGCGGGATGGCACAGGATGGATGCGGGATGGCACAGGATGGATGCGGGATGGCTCAGGATGGATGCGGGATGGCTCAGGATGGATGCGGGATGGGCAGGGAGGATGCGGGATGGCACAGATGGATGTGGGATGGCTCAGGATGGATGCGGGATGGCTCAGGATGGATGTGGGATGGCACAGGATGGATGTGGGATGCTCCCGTGCCAGCCCCGCTGAGGGCTGAGGGCTCTGCTCCCTCCCCTCAGGTTTCTGTGCGGGAAGGAGATCAAAAAGAAGAAATGCATCTTCCGCCTGCGGATCCGCGTCCCCCCGAACCCCCCCAGCAAGGTGCTGCCGGAGAAAGCCCCCGGCGAGGGCGAGAGCGGCTCCTGCGAGCTGAAGAAGAGGGGGAAAAGCAAATACGCCCATAAGGACAGGTGAGCGGCCCCGCTGGCCCCGCGGCAGCAGCAGCAGCAGCCCCCAGCCCCTGCCCCTGCCCGAGCGCCCCTCACTCCCGGCCTGTCCCGTTCGCAGCCTCCTGCCGCGGCAGCTCCAGCAGCAGAAGCGAGCGCGGCGCAAGAGGGCCAAGTTCCTGCTGGAGGATGCCATTCCCAGCGTGAGTGCTTCGCCCCCTCCTCTCCGCCCAGCCCCGGGCTGCCCGCAGCTTTGAGAGCTCCTGTCCTCGCTTCGGGCGGTGTCTCAGCCCTGCCGCCTCCAGGGCAGCATTAACTCCCCGCTCCTTTGGGTGGCCCCGGGCAGGGGGTGCCAGCCGCGGGGTGTGGGCAGCACCCCTGTGCCAGGCAGTGAGGACTGAGCTTGTTTTTGTGACAGAGCGACTTCACCTCGGCCTGGAGCACCAACCACCACCTGGCCAGCATCTTTGACTTCACGTTGGACGAGATCCAGAGCCTGAAAAGGTCTGTGCAGCCAGAGCAGGGCTGTGGGGGGCACGGGTGCTGCTTGTGCCAGGCTGGGGGCGATTCTGTATCCCAGCCTGTCCCATCCCACCCCATCCACAGTGCCAGCTCAGGACAGACGTTCCTATCAGATGTGGACTCCACAGATGCCACCAGCACCTCAGGCTCGGCCACCACGAGCCTCTCCTATGAGTCCAGGTGAGGACTGTGCCCCTTGGCCCCTTCTGGAGGAGTCCTGGTGGCATGGCCAGGGGGGTGAGGGCCTGTGTGTCCCCTCTTCATGTCCCACCCTGGGAGCTTTCCCTGCCTGTGCCCCAAAACGGGTTGGGGGTGCCAGAGTGGCACTTGCGGGGGGTGCAGGATCGGAGCCGTCAGTCCTTGCTGTGCTCCCCCAAATGGGAAGGAGCTTTCCTGGCTCCCTCCAGAAGCCAGCCCGGTGGACACATTCTGGGTGCCGCCCTCACCCTGCCCTGTGCCCTCCCCGGCAGCCGCAGGACCGTGGGCAGCCGCAAGCGCAAGCTGGCAGTGCCCGCCTACGCCTCGGGGGCCAAGAGGAGAGGAGCGGGCGAGCGGGGCGGGCAGCGCCCCGAGGGCAGCGAGGCCCCGGCCGGCCCCGACCGCCCCGACGACGGCATCGACAGCCACACCTTCGAGAGCATCAGCGAGGACGACTCCTCGCTGTCCCACCTCAAGTCCTCCATCAGCAGCTACTTCGGGGCCGCGGGCCGGCTGGTGTGCGGGGAGAAGTACCAGGTGCTGGCGCGGCGGGTGACGCTGGAGGGAAAGGTGCAGTACCTGGTGGAGTGGGAAGGCACCACCCCGTACTGAGCCCCGCCAGCCCCCGAACCTCTCCCGGAGCCAGAGCAGAGGAGACCGGGCTGCTGGGGAAGCCCGAGGCACAGGAGAGGCGCTGGTCCCTCCCCGCGGGTGGAGGCAGCGCCCAGGCCGGCAGGGCTGCCCAGGAGTGAAACCTGAAGCCCCGACACTCTGTTTTTTTTTTTAATGTTAACGATTTTTAGTTCCTTGGCTGTGTTTATGCAGAGCGTGGCCCCGCCGTGCCCTGCTGATGCTCACAGAGCACTGAGGGGGTCCGGCCCTTCCAGAAGGGTCCCCCTGGCACAGCTGGAGCAGCTGCTCGGGGGGCACTCACCCCCTGCTCACACAGAGGGACCTCGGCCTGTGCCTGGCACAGCCTGACCGAGCAGCCTCGAGGGGCTCCTGCTGCCCAAACACCAACCCCTCCTCATCCTGGGCTCCCAGAGCTGCTCGTCCCTGTGCCCACAGGAAACTGGGGACAGCTCCCGGGCTTTTCCACCTCATCCTGAATCCATTCATTGAAGGAATGTGGTTTGCTTTATATGGGAGGAAAATGCCCCAAACCCAGCCCAGGTGTGGCTGTTGCAGCCATGGGCAGATGGGCTCTCACCCCACAGCCTGGACTGAGTGTGCTGCAGCTTCATCTCCCTGCTCTGACAATCATGATCTTGGAAGAGATCATCCAAAAAAATCCTCCTTTGCCTTAAAACCACCATGGGCACTGCACAGAGCGGAGCCCAAGGCCTTTGTTTCTACAGGAATCTTCACCCCAAATGTGCCAAACCAGCAGACAAACCAAAAAAGGCTGAGGAGGACAGGGGGGCAGGGGCTGGACTGGGGTCCCTGTGTCCATCCCTGTGGCCTCCTGGCTGTGCCTCTCTCTTAGTGCTGATGTTTGTGAGCACTGGGCTTGATTTGTCTGCAGGAGAGAAGGAGCAGCCCCTCCTTTAAGAAAGCAATACTGCCAGCTTGGGCAGGAGCAGGGCAGTTGGCTTTTTGAAAAAGATTCCAATATCAGATAGATGTGTTAGATTTTTATCCTTTAGAGAGACAGAGAGATATTTTTAATGTCCTCCTCCTCTCTCCCATCCCACTGTGGCTGTCCCAGGGGATGGAGGTTGGGCCATGCTGGGCTGTGGGGTCCTGCCCTACCTGTGCTTGTGGGATCTCATCCAGAGCAGTGTCCCTGTCCCTTTGGGAGAGGAGCTGCCAGGTCCCCCCATCCCGGGCAGGGAGGGGTCCAGCAGCTGGAGAACTGCCTGTCCTGCCTTAGCTTTGTCCTTGAAGGATCACTTCAAATATTTCCCTTTCTTAGTGCCTATGGAGCCCTTCCAAGGGGCTGCCAAGAGCTGTGCCAGGGCTGAGCAGGGTTGTGCCAGTGGGAGCACCCACAGGACCTGGCCCTGGCTCCTCTCTGCTCCCTCTCTGTTCCCTCTCCTCCTCTCCTGGCTTCTTGCAGAGAATTGAATGTGGAGCCTTTAAAAGTATTTTTGTTGCAGAGTATATTTTGCATTCGCTGTAATAGAGATTATAACAACTCTGTGCACCTTCTGATTTCTGAGTTCAGGTTGCTGCTTGTAAGCACCTCTCGTTATACCCGAGTTGTAATTAATATGTCTGATGTACAATTAAAAAGGGAGGGTTTTTTCAAAGTCACTGTTTTTTTGTACTGTGAGGATTATTGGGTTGGGGTGCCCAGTGCCCAGCACGGGTTGTGCTTCTGGGCTGTGTTCTGTGCCAGGTGAGGTGTGCAAGCCCAGGACAGGCCTTTCCTCCTGCCCAGGTAAGAAACTCCCGTTCATTCCCTTCCCAGACACATAAATACCCCAAAAATGTCCCTTCAGTTGTGTCCCAGAAACCACGAACATGAGGATCCTTTTACAAAGCCCAGCTCAGGTGGGGTAGGGACACAGAGCCAGGGCAGTGCCATGGTCCTGCTGGCACCTGGGCTGCCCAGCCTGGCCCACCCAGCTCTCCCAGCTCCCTGGGACAGCGAGAGCGGAATCCTAATGGGCTTGGCTGGGCTTTGCTGGGCTTTGCTGGGCTTTGCTGGGCTTTGCTGGGTTTTTCTGGGTTTTTCTGGGTTTTTCTGGGCTTTGCTGAGGTTTGCTGGGGTTTGCTGGGCTTTGCTGGGTTTTTCTGGGTTTTTCTGGGTTTTTCTGGGCTTTGCTGGGCTTTGCTGAGGTTTGCTGGGGTTTGCTGGGCTTTGCTGGGTTTTGCTGGGTTTTGCTGGGTTTTTCTGGGCTTTGCTGGGCTTTGCAGCTTCCCCGGGCCCTGCAGGGCTGAGCCGCCAGGGGAGGGGAGTGCCCGGCCCGTCCTGCGGCCCCGGCCAGGGCACATCGGGCAGGATGCTGGGGGCCAGGCAGGGCCAGGGCTGGCGGTGGGGACACACGGCACTGCCAGGCCACGGCTCCCGGCTGGAATTCGCTGCTGACAGCCCGAGGCAGCCCCGAGTGTCCTGACAGGGGCATCTCCGCATCCTCACGCACAGCTTTGGGTGCAGGCAGCTCTTCCCCAGCTCCTCCCGCGCCGGCTCCGCGCTGCCCAGCGCTCCGGGGCAGGCAGAGCAGCGGAGCTTTCCCAGTTCCCGAGCTCCTGTGTCACAGCAAACCCCAGAAGATAAAAGCTGCCCCGGCGCGGCTCCCCAGAAATGAGCCGCTCCCCAAAAACGAGCAGCGCTTCGTGCCTCTCAGTGCCGTGGGACGCTCTCCTCCATCCACCGGAGGTAGGCAGGGTTCCCTTGGTCGATGGGCAGGCTGATGATCTCGGGGATTTCAAAGGGATGGATGGATCTAAAGTGGAAACAGGCGCGGAGGAGGAGCGCAGTCAGGAAGCCGCTCCAGCCCTGCCCGGCCCTCCCGCACTTCAAAGCCCCCGCGGGTCCTTTTTGCCACGTGGGAATTTCGCTGTGAGTTCGGGTTTACCGCAGACTGCCGGGGCCTGGCCCCAAGCTGAGAGCGGCCCCCGCTCGGGAGCTGCAGGAAATCCTGTCAGGGAATGATAACCCCGCGAGGAGGAGAATCCCTCCTCCAATCCAGCCCAGCAGTTGATATTTCTGCCGCCTTTTCCTTTTTGCTGGTGCCATCTCTGGGGTTTTCTGGTTCGTGAGATACAGCAGGAGCACTTAACCCCTCCTGGGTGGGATGGGGCTCAAGGAACCCCCAAAGCTGGAGCAGGAGGTGACAGCCTACCTTGGATGGGACACCCCGTGCTCCCATGGAGCCAGAGCCTCACCTGACGTAGTTGGACAATTCCCCTATTTTGGACGTCCTTGTTTTCACCAACTGTGGAGAGAAAAAAAACAGAACAAACCCAAGGGAGATGTGAAGGGATGGAGGGGTCCTGGTGTGCAGCTCCACTGTGCCCACCCAGCACGGCCAGGGTGTGACAGGAGCTCTCCATACATGGCCAAGGTGTGACAGGAGCTCTCCATACATGGCCAAGGTGTGGTTTGCCCAGTGAGGTGTGCAAGGGGATGATCCCAAACCCAGCAGGTTGGTGCCACCCTCCCCAAACCTCCCTGCAGCCCCTTTCAGATGGGGCCTTTTGCAAGAGGGATTGTTGTGATGTAGGGAATGATCACTTACTAGCAGTATTTCAGTGGATTCTTCCAGTTCCCCTTTCCAGAAATACCTGGATTTAAAAGAAAAGCAGCATCAGCAAATCCAGCTCTGCTGCAGCCATGCCAACGCTCGGGTTCCTTTCCCTGCTTGGTGCTTTTTGCACGAGGCCATTTCTTTACAAAGTGGCTCAAGAAGCATCGCTGGCCCCAAAACTGCTGAGCAGATTGAGTGAGCACCCCAGATTTATGGACAGGAGCCTCCTGCAGAGGATTTGCCCAGGGGGACTGGCAGGGCAGATTGGCTGGGCCCTGCCTGCAGGGAGGCTGAGCTTTCCTCCTCTCTTTCCCTGCAGGAGAGGAGCTGCACTTCTCATGAGTCAGATGTGACCTTTGAAAACATTTCCGCTGCCAGGAGCTGTCCTGATCTCATCTGCCTGCAGGGGAGGGCTCCGGGCAGGGCAGGATCCTGGAGCAGGATCCAGCTGGAGCTGCAGGAGCAGCTCTGCTCTGCCCCTCTGGGCTTGTAGGACATGATGGATCAGGGGAAGAAGGGAGTTACTGGGTTTGCTCTCTGGGTTTGTAGGAAGTGATGGATTAGGGGAAGAAGGGCATTGCTGGGTTTGCCCCTGTGGGTTTGTATAAAAGGATGGATTAAGGGAAGAAGGGAGTTACTGGGTTTGCCTCTCAGGGTTTGTATAAAAGGATGGATTAGGGGAAGAAGGGAGTTACTGGGTTTGCTCTCTGGGTTTGTAGGAAATGATGGATTAGGGGAAGAAGGGCATTGCTGGGTTTGCCCTGAGGTGGGATATGGGTTTGCACTGTGGGATCCCCTCCTGAGGGAAGCTGGGGTGGGATCTGCTCCTCACTTCTGCCAGGGGGTTTCTAAGAGGAAAAGCTGTTTTGGGGCTTTGCTCTTGAGCCTCTCCAACAAGTGCAGTCCCTTTGCATGGACAGCTGAGGACACCTGCAGAGCAGGGCTGGGCCTGGTCCAAGGTCAAACCTGCTGTTCTTCCTGCCTGAAAAAGCTGCTGCATTTTGCAAAAGCCTTTTCTGCTCCCTATTTGGCTGCTTTTTAGAGTCTCTACTAACAGGCACCACGTCCTCAGGACCACAAACCCTAAATTGCTGGATGTCTGTGTAGCCAAGCACCCAATAAATGAACGAGCCCCAGGGGCACTCAGAGCATCTGCCCCCCTCAGTGAGCTCTGGGCACAGTGAGGCTCATCCCCACCATCTGCAACAACAAACACACCCAGCAGCCCTGGGAACCGAGCTCTGTGTCCATGCCCTCCTTCCCTCCCTCCCTCCCTCCCTCCCTGCAGGTTTGCTGCTCCCTCGGGGAATGCCCAGCTCTACTCACAGGGCCGAGCTCTTGGGCAGGATGCTCACACAGGCAGCCAGCCTCTTATCCATGATGGCCCTGGGGGACACAGGAGGGCACTCAGAGCCAGCCCAGCCCACAGCTCACCCCCAGCCTTGGGGACGTTCCCTTGGCAGCTTTGACACTGGAGACACTGAATTTTGGGTTACTTATTACCCTGAGAAAACAAAGGTGAACTTTGGCTGGAGAGAGTCCAGATCAGGCCCTCCTGGGAGGGTTGTGGGACCCTCCCTGTGCTCAGGAGGGACTTTGGGGGTTGCTCCTGGCCTGGAGGACCCTGCCCAGTGCCAGCCCCTCTGGCTGTGGGGTCACCAGGGCAGGGGCTGGAATGTGGGACCACAAAAACCCAGCCTGGGTTTGTCTGCCCCTGTCCAACTGTGCCCCTTCCTCCCAGAGCAGCCTAAATGTGCATCTTAAATTAAAAACATCAAGGCTTTTCAACCCAAAATATCCTAGAAAGCTGAAGGCCAGACAGATTCCCTCCCTTGGGCTGCCTCCATGAGCTGAGGGCTGGTTTGCTATTGCAGAGCTGCTCAGGAAGAAGTGACCCCTCAGAGATTACAGAGCACTGCAGCAATCTCAGGGAGGGGTTTTAGAAGCAAGGGGGCAAATGTTGTGTTTGGTGACCAGAGCAGAGTCTGGCCCCTCTCACAGAGGTGGCAGCTGTCCCTCCAGGCAGGGCACCAGTGACCCCACCCTTGATTTGCTTCAGCACTGGTGTGGGGGGACCATGGTGGGGAGAGGAGCACCCCGGGAGGCTCAGGGCTGTCTGCTCCCACCATGTGCAGGCAGTTCCAGGCATTCAACGCTCCTGGAGCATCTTGAGTTAATCTTTAGAGCAACAAAGTGCAGCAGCACGAGCAGAGCCACCCCTGCTGTGCCTGTCATGTCACACATGGCACAAATCAGTCTGGATTTGCTGCCTGCAACTTGCAGTTCCTTTAGCACAGGAACCTTTTGGTTTCAGTGCTCTGTCCCAATAAATTGGGATCCTGAGATCCTGAACTTGGTCCCAGCAGGCTGAGCAGCAACAAGAGGCCACCAGGGGAACAGAGAACATTGTGAGAAGCTGAATGTGATCTGTGGAAAATGTCTGCATAATACATGATAGCTTTGGGTTGGGTACTTAATTGTGTGTTTCTTTGCCCTGAAGTGAGACAGATGAAATATTAATAAGCAGAAAAGCAAAGAAAATGATAACACAAATCTAAGGCAGCAGTGGGGGCTGGCGGGGTGCTGGGCAAGTTGGGTGAGGTGCAGTGGCCAAGGGGCTCAGCTCCTCCCAGGACAGGCAAGAAGGTCTTGAGATGCTGAATTCTACTGCAGCTCTTCTGCTTTCCCAAAGCTTGAACCCTTTTTTGTGGGGTGGAAAATTTCCTTGCAGACTGATCCATCTGAGTGAGGGCTCCACTGAGCAGTGCAAAGGAAGAACAAACACAGGAAAAGGAGTGGGGGAAAATGAGTGTAGAAGCCCTGTGTCATCCCCTGCAATCAGGGCTCAGTGCTCCCGGTTCCAGAACAAAGGAACAATTACTCCACCAGTAAAACCACAACCAAAGTACACATATCTCAGCACGGGGGAGTGATTTATCTCCTCTCCCTTCCCTGCAAGATGAGGAACAAAGAGTGGAAAGCATTTGCAAAGCTGTTAAGATGAGGCATTTTCAGGAACTGAGGCTCTTTTCACCAGGTACAGTTGCTCCTTTTTTTTATAGGAGACATCGAGCAGAGCAGACATAATTCTATTTGAATTTCTCAACACAGTTGCAGTATTTAAGGTGACACAAACTCCCTTTCAGTAGCCTGTCAGTTCCTGAGCATGTCTGGGAGCCCTTTGCTGAGATGGAGGGGTTTTGGCAGCAGCAGGAAAACAGCACAGGAGGTGTTGCAGGAAACTTCATGGTCCATCATAAACACTTCCCCAGGCAACACGGGTTCAGTTCTTTGAACAGACCATCCATTGAGGCAGGGACTGACAGATGTGTGAAAAGAACTCTGCATGCAAAATATCACCCTAAGTGTCTCATATATTAAAAAAGAAGAAGGGAAAAAATGGAGGAAAAGCCCTCATTCCCTGAAGTTTGCCTGGTGAGCAGAGTGGTGCCTCAGAAGTGTTTGTTGTGGACCCTTTTTCCTTTATTTTCATGTCAGAGCACTGTGCTTGGTCTCTCTCTATAAATATCCCCCCGGCATTTTGTTGTCTAGAGAGGAATAAAGACTGTGGCAGACCAGAGAACATCAGGTTGGAGCTTAATCCATCTGAGAACCCAGAAATTCAGGGCCATGAAAACGGGTCTCAAAGATGCAAGGCAGTGACATGCACGGAGAATTGTTTGCTGTTTCCATGGCATTGACTTCAGAGGCAAATGTCAGCTTTCCTTGGGACAGAGCAGCTCTTGGCAAGGGCTTGTGGTGCACTCAGTGGAAAGGAGCATGGATGGGGTGAATCCCAGAATGGTTTGGGTTGGGAGGGACCCTAAATCTTATGTCACTGCCACGGTCAGGACACCTTCCCCTATCCCAGTTTGCTCCCATCCCAATGTCCACCCTGGCCTCCAACCCTGCCAGGGATGGGGCAGCCCCAGCTGCTCTGGGCACCCTGAATTGCCAAGGCCAGAGGAGAAATTCAGCTCCGTTGCAGCCCCTGCAGCAGCCAGGCAGGGGCGGCGTGGCCGTACCTGGCGATGTCCCTGGCGATGTGCTCGTTGAGGCAGGTGACAAAAACCACCGAGTGCGTCCCTGGGACGTAGCTGCCCGTGAGAGCCGAGTGCAGCTGCAGAGCCAGGCCCCGGAGCAGGGGGTGCAGGAGCACCAGCAGTGCCAGCACCTCGGAGAGAACACCAGGGGTGGTGGGAGGTGAAATATTGCACTTGGGAAAACAGCATTCGCATTGTCTGGGGCTGGAGGGACGTTCCTCAGCCCTGCAGGAACCGGTTAAATTGAATTAACTAATTAATTAATTGAATTAATTCTGTTTAACCGGTGAAATTGGGTTAAGGTGAGGGTGCTCAGGTGAGTGCATCAAGGTGAGTGCTCCTAGGGGGATATAAATGGAGTGCTGCTGGAAGAGTCTGGGGGCTAAAAATACAGCTGAAAGTAGCTGCAATGGAGTAATTTGCCTCAAAAGGCAACCCCTGGCATTGTGCTGAGCGTTTACCAGGGCCCTGAGGTTAAAGGAGCTCTGTGTGCATGGGGAGAAAATGCAGAATTCAGCAAGTGTGGGGGTGCCCCTCCTAGAGAGCCAATCTCATGCTCAGGGCAGAAAAAGGGGGGCACTTTTGAGGCTGTATCAGCCCAGGCCTCGACTGTGGGAGGTCACCCCCAGACTTGTGGGGGTTCCAGACTCCACCACCCAACCACAGCAGCCAGGACTGGTTTTCTGCAGGAGAATAAGGAGGTAAGATATGGAATGGGGAGGTTAATCTGGAGTGCTGAGGAGCAGCTGAAGGATGGTGCCACTCTGGGCTGCAGCAGTGCCTTCCCTTTGTCTTTTGTTTTGTTTTTGACATAAACAGCATCTGGCCCTGGTTCTGCTGCAGTGATTTAAAAAAATGCAAAGAATATATTCCTTTTCCCCCCTTATTTCCACCCTCCTTTTTCCTCTGATAAACCTGCCATTACAGCACTAATGTAGAAATCTCTCCTTTTATTTTTTTCTTTTTTTTTAAATTGAATTAAAAATCTCTCTTGTCACCACAAAGCCAGGAGCTCCTTCCTATTTGGAAAATGACTGATTGCTGTATTGCTTGTCTCCTCTTTCCCAATCCATTTGCGAAAATATTCTTTATTACCACAAGACTTCTCATCATAATTTTTAGAGCTCCTTCTGTGCTCCTTTTTTCCCACTAAGCCATTTAACAAATATTATACAACAAATCCCAGAAGCTACTCGGTGAGTTACAAGCCAAACAGAGATGTGCTGGTGTACCTATTTTTCCAGATTAAAATGTAATCATGCTCCTTGCTCGGAGAAAAAAAACAAACATCCAACCTGTTCAGCCTGATGATCATTAATCTTCTTGTAAGATGTACGTGCATGTGATGAGGAAATCCCCAGGATCATTTGTGATTGAATATTAGTACAAACATGAACACTACCCTGGTTTTTTTTTTCTGGTGTTTTCCCCCCTTTTTTTATGAAAAGGAAGATTTTCCACCCCTTTTTTTCCAGAATAATTGTATTTGCTAAGGGATGGTGCAAAAAGGAGTGAAACATCAGGATTCCTGGCCGATAAACCAATTAAACTCATGATTACCAATATACTGAAGTGAAAAAACTGAAAACACCCCTGTGAGGATTTTAAAGAAGTTCACTGAAAAGCACAAAATGCCAGTTTAGCGCAGAGAGACTCAGATTTCTGTAACACTTCTTCTGGCTTTGGTGAGCTGTAAAGAGCTTTAGGTTTAGAATCACCCTGCCAGAACTTTTTGCCTAGTTTTGATGAGCTTCCATTAAAAATCCCCGACTGAACACAACTTGTGGCAACGCTGAGTGTAAAAAAACCTGAACGTTTGCTTTTCTCCCAGCAGATACGGGGAGTCCCCCCCTCCTGCAGGATGGCTTTGGGAGAGCTTTGCTAACAGAGGCACAGACAGATATTGCCATGGTTGCTTGGCGTGGGTTGGTGTCTGTTGTGCTCCTTGGGGAGTGTCCTGTGTCCTGCATCCCCATCCATGTGTCCATCCCAGAACCACGTCCATCCTCAATCCACCCCTGTGTCCATCCCAGCCCTGTGTCCATTCCATTCCTCCGTCCATCCCATCGCCGTGACTGTCCATCTCTGTGCCCATCCACCCCCATGTCCATCCCCGTGTCCATCCCCGTGTCCGTCCATCCCTCCATCCCCGTGTCCATCCATACCCATGTTCATCTATCTGCCCATCCCCATGTCTGTCCATCCCTGTGTCCATCCATCCCCATGTCCGTCTATCCGTCCATCCCCGTGTCCATCCATCCCCATGTCCGTCCATCCATCCGTCCATCCCCGTGTCTGTCCATCCGTCCATCCCTGTGTCCATCCATCCCTATGTCCATCCCCGTGTCCGTCCATCCCCGTGTCCGTCCATCCGTCCATCCCCGTGTCCGTCCATCCCCACGTCCCTCCCCGTGTCCGTCCGTCCGTCCGTCCCCCCGCACTCACCAGCAGCGCGGTGCCGCGCCCGGGCCGGGGCCAGCCCTGTGCGGCGGGGGGCAGCGGGCAGCGCTGCCTCGGCCCCTCCATGCCCGCCGGCCCCTCCACCCGCTGTGCCCGAGCCGGGAGCGCCGCCGGACAGCGCCACCGGCTCCTCCTCCTCCTCCTCCTCCTGTCCTTCCTCCCGGCCGGGCCCGCCCGCTGCGGGCCAGGACAGCGCCGTGTCCCCTCCTGCCACCGCCGCCGCTGCACCTGCCGGGCTGGGGGGACAAATATCGGGGCTCGGCACCCCAAAGTGGGCACAGACCCCCGAGCTGGTGCCCAAGTTTCCAGGCTGTCCCTCCAGTGCCAGCCCCGGAGCCCTCCCAGCGCCGTCACGGTGCTCTGAGACGCGCTGACCCCATTTATCCCCTTTGCTTCCATTTCCCTGTCTATAAAATTGTTATTTCCTCAGATTTCATCTGTTTGGGGCTCTCTGGATAGAAACCGCCGGGCAGGGGATGAGTCCCGGCGGTGTTTGTACCCAAAATCTCCTGGGGGCAGAGCCGAGCGCCGTTTGTCCCACGCTGTAACTTTATTGTCCCCCGTGTAACTTTTTACTGTCGCCCTGTCTGTCCCCATGATCTCTCACAGTTCCCTCCTCGCCAGCCCGCAGGACCCCCCTGTCTGTCACAGATTTATCTGGGGGATGGAATCCTGCGCAGAGCTGGAGGCACAAAGTTACAGGAGTTATCTGACAGCATCGGTTTGTTTGTAAAAGGTGAGAAAATGAGGGGGTGACACGTTCTCCGCACCGGGAGCCGTCCCGGGCAGACACCGGGATGGGGCCGGCTGTTCCTGCGCTCTCGGGATCAGCGCTTTCCCTTCCCGAACCACATAAACGCCGTTTATCGCAGTTTTGCCAAAAAACGGCGACGCCGTGCACTGACCTCCGCCCCCGCTCAGGGGATGGAGACCGGCCATGCCTACGGGACCCCGCCCCCTTCTCATTACCGGGACCCCGCCCCCTTCTCATTACCGGGACCCCGCCCCCTTCTCATTACCGGGACCCCGCCCCCTTCTCATTACCGGGACCCCGCCCCCTTCTCATTACCGGGACCCCGCCCCCTTCTCATTACCGGGACCCCGCCCCCTTCTCATTACCGGGACCCCGCCCCCTTCTCATTACCGGGACCCCGCCCCCTTCTCATTACCGGGACCCCGCCCCCTTCTCATTACCGGGACCCCGCCCCCTTCTCATTACCGGGACCCCGCCCCCTCAGCGCACAGCCAATAGGGCGGAGCCAGGGGGGCGTGGCGCGCGGACATTTTGTTTACATTTTACCAGACGCAAAGGGCGCCCTTAGCAACGGCGCGGCGGTTGCTATGGGCGACCCGAGTTCTCGCGATATCCCCGCCCGGCGGTCGCTACGGGCGACGCGACTTCTCGCGAGACTCGCGGGAGAGGGCGGAGGCGGCCAAGATGGCGGAGGCGGCGGCGGAGCTGCTGGAGCGGGCGGCGCGGCGGGACGCGGCGCTGGAGGAGCTGCGGGCCCTGCGGGTCGCCGTGCAGGCCGTGCCGCTCGCCGCCCTCCGCTCCCGCCTCGCCGAGCACCACCTGAGGGCGCTCTTTGGCCTCCTCGCTGTTAATGACCGGTGAGCTCTGGCGCGGTGCCGCGGGCCTGCCCGGCCCCGCTGCTGTTCTCCCGGAGCGAGGTGGGGGGGTCCTGCCGCCTCCCCGGCTCATTCCTGGCCCTCTTTCGGGGCGGGAGGTGGCACAGTGATGCTCCTCTCCTCAAGGGCTGGCTTTTCTCTCCGTCCCGCCCAGGGAACAGGTGTCCGTGTGTGTTTCCATCCTGGAGAGGCTCCTGCAGGCCCTGGACCCCCTTTACGTGATCCAGAGCCTTAGGGAAGAGCTGCAGAAGGGCCTTTTCCACCCCGATGACTCCGTGAAGATCCTCACCATGTCCCAGGTACAGGCTTTCCTCCAGGAGGAGGGGACGGAGCTCTGGGTTTGTCCCCATCTGCTCTTTCCTGCCTTTGTGATAAAAGCAGGAATTGTGTCCTGCACTTGTGCCATTTGGGATAATTACTGTGCACTGGGTATAATGCTTTGTGATATGTCAATAATAATGTCCAAAACTACGTCCTCACAAAAGCAGGTTGTGATTAAAATTTCTGCCGCATGTCCTGGTTAAAGCTTTCCAGGCCAGCAGGTGATGGAAGAATTAAAATCAACAACATTTTGATATTCAGGATACTTTACACTATTGTGGAAACACCAAACAGGCTGTGGGAGCTCGACACTTGCTGCATTAAATTCAAAGGAGAGGATTATGGGATGTCGTGGTTTGGGGTGGATTTCTAGAAGTTCAGCTAAGAGCAGCTGCTCAGTGTTGTCCAATTGAGTTTTGATCCAAAAACCTCAAAAAATTGTGACTCTGGTTTCTGTTCATCTGTTCCAGTGCTTGAGTATCCTTGGAGTGGGAAGGAATTTGTTCTCATGTTGTTTTCTGTGTCTCTTTGATCAGGTTGGGAGGATTGTTGAGGACTCAGCTGCTGTCCCAGAGATTCTGCACAGCCCTGAGCTGATACAGCAAATCATAAACTGCATTGGTGGGGAGAAAATAGCAGTGGCCAAAGAGGTAAAGGTGCCTTTATTGTCCCATTCCTCTGCCAGCTGAGGTGGTTGGGTGGCAGTAATAATGAGCTGTCATCAGTGAAAAGTGAATTATAATTAGAATTGTCTAGCTGTGGTTAAGTAGTTAATAAAGAACTAATACCATACAGTCTTGGATTTTCTTCTCTGTGTGATTTGTTCCTTTTTAATAATGTGAAAAACGCCAATCACTTGTTTTTAAAATTTTAAAAGTTTAATAGTAATAAAATGGTGATAAAAATAGTAATACAATTAGAGTAATAATAAATTGGACAATTTGAATTAGGACAATATGAGACAACAGAAACAAAGAGTTACAGACGGCAGCACAAGCCTGAAAAAGGCCCCACGTTAACAGAGAATTAACCCTTAAAAGCAATAACCTGTTGCATATTCACACATCTCATAAATTATGCATAAATTCCATTCAAATACAGGATTCTGTCTGGGCAGTGTCAGCTTCTTCCTCTGAATCCTGACGGGAAGAAGTTCATTTCTCCTGATAATGGAGCAATAAATTCTCTTTCTCTGAGAGATTCAGGTGTGCTGTGGCTGCTATCTCACTGCCAGTCCTTTCTTTAGAAAAAAGTACCCTACATAGCATAGTTTCTATTTTAACATTATGTTATAACCTAAAACTATATTTAACACACTACTTAAGAGAATTATTACAGCATTACTTTCTAACACAACACGTATAATATTCACTTTAATATTTGTGAAAAGCCAATCATAAAACAGGCATTTTTCACAATAACAAGCTCCTGTTTTTGCTTGCAGGCCATCAAATCTCTGTCCAGGATAGCCCAGAGCCAGGAGGGGCTGGAGGCTCTGTTTGGGAGCAGCTTGCTGGGTGACCTGAGGAGGGTCATGGCCACCAGCGATGTCGTTCGCTACAGGGTCTATGAGGTACAGGGCACCTCCTCTGCTGCTCCTGCTCTCAGCCTGGCCTTTATTGCTTTTACATCATTGTTTCTCACTGATTCACCCACTTTCCTTCATGTCTGTGTTATACTCAAACTAGAAAGGAGTAGGGAGATGACATCATGAGAGCCCCCATGCTGCAAGAACTCCTCTTTCTCATTTCATGATGTAAAAGTGTGAATTGCTGTTCATTTTCTAATTTGTGGTGCCTAAGGCATTGGAAGGGCTACACAGAATCACTAAAGGCACCAGAAAGTATTTGTTTCTCTGAAAATAGAAGTAAAATAGTTAACTGTAGCCTCTTGATTTATGGATGTGAAGTGCTGCTAAGAGCTTTGGAGAGATGCCAGCTGTCAGTCTTGAGACGTTTGGCAAAGGAGGAATAACACAATTTAATCATTCTAGAGCTTAATGGGGATAGCACAGGAGGAGCTGATTGTGAATAGAGATCAAATGCATGTGCTGGAAACTTGGAACTCCTTATGAAGTTGCTTCAGGCAGACATTTGGGTTAATGATAAAAATGTGATTCATTCCGTATTTAATATATGTGAGGGTAATTAGCACAGAAGATGTATTTGGCTGTTACAGTGAATTATAATGTTTTTATAAACTGTCCTTTTGCTTTTATTTAGTTAATTGTGGAGATTTCATCAGTGTCAGCAGAGTCTCTGAATTACTGTGCCAGCAGTGGGTTAGTGTCTGAGTTAATTGGGGAGCTGACTGGAGAGGATGTGCTGGTCAGGTATGTTGGTGAGTTTGCTAAGGACATTTCCACCATTGTTAAATCTCTAACAAATGTATTTGTGTGTGTTTCTGTAAAAGGAAAAACGCTGTACCTGCCTCTCCTTAAACTGTCTTGGGTGTCAAATAGTTCATACCTTAATGGAGTGATAATTACCGTGTGTAGCTGCAGCAGAAACACTTCAAGCCCTTTCCCAGATCTAAAGAGATGAATGAGCTGAACTATTGGGATCATTTGGGTTTCTTTGCTAGGCTTGTGTCTCATGGGTGTGGTTTCTTTTTCTTAATCACTGAGTGCTTCAAGCCCCACTCAAACAAACCAAAATCCCTGGGGTTTTTTTTGGTGTTGCAGGGCCACGTGCATCGAGATGGTGACAGCGCTGGCCCACAGCCCCCAGGGCCGGCAGTACCTGGCCCAGCAGGGAGTGATCGACAGGATCTCCAACATCATCCTGGGGGCACAGTCTGACCCCTTCTCCAGCTTCTACCTGCCAGGTGCCTCCCGAATTCCTCCTTGCCAGGCTTTGCTGCTTGGGTTAAATTGGCAGCACTGCCAAGCCTCTCTGCTGAAAGCTCAGGGGAAATTTTGGAAATTAGATTGTCCCTCAGCACTTTTTAAATATCCAGTATTGTACATATCCAGTCTGAAGGATGTTCCTCAGTAAGATCTGGGCAGGCTGTGCTGTAGCTTTAAAGTTTGTGTTATTGTAGCCTTTTTTAGGAGTACAAACATCATGAATTAAGCAACAGTCAAAATATTTGGCTTGTTGCTTAGTTCTGTCTTT